ATACATAGAGGCAGAATGTTGTATACATAATAAATAAATCTAAAAAGAAAAAAAAAAGAAAATTGGGAATCAACCTACCTCAGGACCCAGCAATACCATTCTTGGGCACATATCCAAGAGATGTTCAACCATACTACAAGGACATTTGTTCAACTGTGTTCATAGCAGCATTATTTGTAATAGCCAGAACCTGGAAACAACCCAGATGCCCCTCAACCGAATGGATAAAGAAATTGTGGCACATTTACACATTAGAGTACTACTCAGTGGTTAAAAAAAAAATGGCATCTTGAAATTTACATGCAAATGGATGGAACTAGAAAAAAAAAAACTTCCTGAGTGAGATAACCCAGACCCAAAAATAGGAACACGGTACGTACTCATTCATAAGTAGATACTAGCAGTAAAGCAAAGGATCTCGAGCTTAGAGTTCATGATCCTAGAGAAGCTAAGTAACACAGTGCAAGGCTTTTAGCTGTTGTGCTCAGTGACCAAGCTCACTTCCGAGGCTGCTGGGCAAAAGCATAGCACGCAGATATTTCAAACTAACTTATAAAGGGAGCGATCAAACCCACAATTCAAAACCCAGGCATCACCTTGTAAATGCCTGACTTTTTAAACAGCTTGACTAAGCTCAGCCCCCTGGTGAAGGTTGATTTCTCACAACTGGCTCTGTGCCTTGCAGACGTATGCGCATGGGACTGAGGGTGGTGCTCAGAGGTAGCACACGTCGGAGCATGTGCAAGGCCGTGTGAATATGTGCGACAAAAGACAAGTTCTGGGAGCAGAGATGCCTTGTTACCCTTCTGGGCATGCACAACCCGAGCTGGAGAGCACTGGGTTGACTCTGGGCTGCTGTGGCCGGCTGTCTGGGTATGTTAGAGTGAACAGAAATCCCCAGGCTCACAGTTCCTGTTCCTGGAAGGCCTAGGACAATGCACTGGTGCCTCATAAGGGCCTTGCTGTTGCACCATAACAAAGTCGAAGGCATCCATGGAATCCACTCCATCAAGGGCTCTGAGAATCAGGACTACATATGTCAAATCTACTTTCCGGCTTTTTGTGTGTGTGTGTGTGTGTGTGGTTTTTCCAAGACAGGGTTTCTCTGTAGCTTTGGAGCCTGTCCTGGAACTAGCTCTTGTAGATCAGGCTGGCCTCGGACTTACAGAGATCCACCTGCCTCTGCCTCCCAAGTGCTGGGATTAAAGGTGTATGCCACCAACGCCCAGCTACTTTCCAGCTTTTGAGAGAGTAATGTCAAGTCCATCGTCCTGCTTGACTGACTGGAACCTACCTTAATTGTCCCTTTCAGTGAGTCCTGGTTCCCTTGCCTAAGTGAGACATGTTTTCCTAACTGACACTGGTGTCAGAACACCAGGGAAGAGTCTGACATGGAGTCATAAGGCCACGTGAGTACCAGTAGATGCTGGAAAAAAAGAAATGAGCTGAAACACATACAGAAGAATATCTTTATTTTGTGTGTGCATGTGGAGGTCAAAGGTTGACACGAGGTTAAATTCAGTTACTCACCACTTTATTATGTGTTGAGATCAGGGTCTCTGCTGAACGTAGAGTTCACTGCTTTGGCTAGACTACCTAGTCAGCAAGCCCTGAGGACACTCCTGTCTCGGCTGCCACAGGACTGCTATTACATGTGCTACTCCTAGTTTTTATATGAGTGCTGAGGATCCAAAGTCAGGTTCTCATGCTTACACAGAAAGCACTTTACCCACTGTGTAAAGTGTGTCCAGTACTGTGTGTGTATGTGTGTGTCTGTGTGTAATGAATGCAGTTTTTACTAAAGAATACAACCAATTATAGCTTATTATTGACAACTTTGTGTATCCAGTAGCTATTCATTGATTTAACTTTGCTAAGTGCTTTTTTTCCCAAGGAGTGAATGAAGTTGATGAGTTGTGCATATTCTGTGCACTGGAGCAAGTTCAGATAGCAACCAGCAAGACTTGTTAGTAATCCAACATGATTCTAGTCACCGGAAAAACAGTAGCTGGGGTAGCAGACAAGTGAGTCCCTGCGGCTCACTGACCAGCCGGCCTCATCTCCTTAGTGAGCACCATGTCAGTAAGAAACCTAAGGTTGTCCTCGGGTCCCCACATAACAAGACTGCACAAGTGCACCCTCATGCACATACACACACACGCTTAGTCGGGGTGGCTATTGCTGGGAAGAGGCACTGTGACCATGACAACTCTTATGAAGGCAAACATTTACTTGTGGTGGCTTACAGTTCAGAGGTTCAGTCCATTATCATCATGGTGGGACATGGCAGCACGCAAGCAGACATGGTGCTGGAGAGGTAGGTGAGAGTTCTACATCTTGTGCAGGCAACAGGAAGTGGTCTGAGACACTGGGCATAGCTTGAGCATGTGTGAGACCGAAGCCTGCCCCCACAGTGACACACTTTCACCATAAAGCCACATCCACTTCAACAAGGCCACGCCTCCTCTTAGTGTCATTCATTCCCTATGAGCTTATAGGGGCCAATTACATTCAAACTATCCCACAAACGTAATAAATAGATTAATTAATTAAATGCTTTAAAAGTGATTAATGGTCATTTGTTAACCTAGTATTTAGGAGAAGTCCTAAATGCTAAGAAAATTATACTTACTTATGAGACCATATATATACACCTACCCCCAAAAAACTTGAAAAGCAAAGAATAAAACATGCAAACAGATTTCACAGCCAAGCCATGAAGAATGACCAAGGGAGCATTGTACAGATACACACTGGTCTATTTATGGTATAATGGCAGCACACTTATAGAATGGAACAATGAGAATGAACAACTGCAACTATAAACAATTTGGAAAAATCTCACAAAAAGTAAAATGCAAAAGCAAGTAGACCCAAAAAATTGAATGCATTATTTTGTTTATTTAAAATTCAAACTCAGGAAAAGGTCATTAATGGCAGGAGAAGCTGAGTTGCTTTGGGAGGAGGACAGGAGGCTGGAATATTCTGAAAAGGTTCTGTCTCATCATGTGGGGATTAGTTACACAGATGTGCTTGCTTTGTAAAAAAATTCTAAACTGCGTAACATAATTTTGTGAATGTAAGCAAGAGTAAAGAGAATTCACAAGATTAACATCGAATATAAAAATTCTAGGTTTACCTAAAATAGATTCAACCAGCAAGTGTTCACTGAACATTTATTTTGTGCCCAGTACTATTTTTTACTTTGGTGATATAATGGAAAAGTTTGTGTCTGAATTTTGTTTTCCCCAAATTTACATGCTGAAGTCTTAGCCCACAGTGCAACAGAATGTGACCTTATTTGGAGACATAGTCAATTTATAGTGGGTGAACTCTAATTTAATATGATTGATGTAATACATATATATATAATAAGATGTAATATCTATATATGTTTATTATTGTATATTTACATATTGTATCATTTATTTTTATATATTGTATTACACAGACACATGAGACAGCCTCACTCTGTAGCTGGCCTATGACTCACCGTGTAACTTTGATTGCTTCAGCCTGTGCAGTGCCAGGATTACAAACTTAAGCCGCCATGCTCAGATTTAGACACAGAAATCCATAAGGAGCAGAGGACGTAGAAAGACAAGAGAAGATCCCTTAGGCCCTTCACAAGGAGTTAACTCTGTAGAATGTGATGGAGCACAGTATGCTGGAGGCAGAGGCAGGGATATTGCAGGTTTAGACTAATCTCAGCTGTATACCATGTCTAAAGCCAAATTGAGCTTGCATAGTGAGACTCCATTTCAGAACCGGGGGTTGGAGACACAGCACGGTGATGTGCCACAAGAATGGGAAGCTGTTCTGATTGGTTGAATATCTACTCTACTTGACTGGTACTCATGCCATACTGATTTTTAAATATTTTTAATATTATATCTGCCCATAGTAAAGAAGCCTAAAATTCTGGGCTGGAGAGATGGCTCAGCAGTTAAGTGCACTGGCTGCTCTTCCAGAGAACCTGGGTTTGATTCCCAGCACCCATACGGCAGCTCACAGCTGTCTGTAACTCCTGTTCCAGGGAATCAGACTCCCTCATACAGACATGCATGCAGGCAAAACACCAATGTAGGTAATTTTAAAAAATAAAAATATCTCCCCCCTCCCAAAAAAAAAGAATTCCAAAATTTCAAATACTTGGAATTATTTTTAACAAATTATCTCTTTTGTCTTTTTGGGTGGGTTTTGTTTTGTTGTTATTCTATTTTGCTTGGCTTCTGAGACACTCTCACTATGCAGTCCAGGCTGATCCTAAACTCATCACCTTTTTGCTTCAGCCTCCTGAGAGCTAGGGTTTTAGGCATTCAACATTGTGCATAGTACAAAATGATTTTTTTTTAAAGATCCATTTTTCCATGCCTAAGAGTACCCAAGGCAATCTGTCTGGTCTTCCCTTTAAGTAAAAACACGCCAAGATTCTAGACCTCAGTTGGAATCTGACCGTAACCATTTAAAAATGGCAAAGGTTATCATGCGTACATGCATGTGTGTGTGTGTGTATGTGTGTATACATGTTCATGTATGTCCATGGGTATACAGACAGACATCAAAGACTGGAGCCATCCTTGACTCAGTAGAACAAAATTAGTCTAGTTTTTCCCAGCACATTCAGTCTTCAAGTAATATTCTACTTTTCCTGTGGAGGCAAGCTTGCAATACCTGACATTTAGGAAGTCAGAGCAAAGGTAGAGCATTGCCCACACCTTCTTCAGTTCAGTTCTAGGGATCAAATTAGATGATAAGAAGGGTATCCAGCTGGGCGGTGGTGGCGCACGCCTTTAATCCCAGCACTCGGGAGGCAGAGGCAGATGAGTCTCTGTGAGTTCGAGGCCAGCCTGGTCTACAGAGTGAGTTCCGGGACAGGCTCCACAGCTACAGAGAAACCCGTCTCGAATGATGCTATCTTGACGCACAGCTAAAGATCTGCTATAAGAAGTGACCACATGGTAGGAAGGAAGCAATGGTTTCAAGATCAAACCTGGACATCATAATGGAAGTGTCATTTATTGCTGAGAGCATTATACTTAACATTTATTTATGTTAACTATGCTAAAACCAGTTCACCCAGCCAAAGTCTATAAAATGTTGTACAAGCGCCCTCAGCTGGATAAAATGTAGAACTACCAAAAAACATGTTCCATTAAGTTCGTGGAATCATCTTCAGAAATTTCTGAAACTCCAGCCTGGGATCGAAGAATGGACATGATGTCATTAGACAAATTTTCAAAACCATTCTGTAAACAGATATTTGCCATATCTTGCCATTTTTCTAAGGAGCAAAATGAATCGCCCATCACAAGATGCTCTATTTCATCTGAAAAAGAAATAAAGCATTACACGATAGAATTTCTCTTACTTGACAATTTCCACACAGCTATTCTCAGGCCAGGCCGTGGCCCAGCGAGTGCCGTGCCATGACGAGTGCTCAGTCCAGACCCCGCACATTCCTGAACGTCAGTCTCTTCTCCTTCTTGTCCTTATTCACCATCAACTGCATCAGCTCAGCCCTCTGTTTCCCCCTCCACCTCCCTCGTCTCCTTCTTATAAGGTAGATGGTGTTGAAGGGTATAAGGCAGTGAGCCCAGAAAGTGAAGAGCAGGGGCCCCTTCTCAACAGTCCGTATGCACTCCTGCATGCTGAGAACCTCGCACTTGGATTCTCAGGATCCTTTAAATAGCTTCATAAACACTTTAGTATTTATGTCTTAAGGGCTTAAGACACTCCTTAGCAAACTATGCATCCTTCTTCTACACAGGCTTCTTAATCATGCAGTATCTATAATCAATATTGTCCTAAAAAATGAAATCAGTTTACTGTTTTAGAAATCTAATACGGGGGCTGGAGAGATAGCTCAGAGGTTAAGAGCACTGGCTGCTCTTTCAGAGGACTCCAGTTCAATTCCCAGAACCCACATGGTAATTCATAACTGTCTGTAACTCCAGTTCCAGGAGATCTCACACCCTCACACAGATTAGCAGGCAGGTAAAACACCAATGAACATAAAATAAAAATAAATAAATCATTAAAAAATCTGACATGATTACTTTTGAAAGAAAACTGATAGTAACTCTCTTTGATATTTATTACGTATTTATTTACTCTGTGTATGAGGAATGCACATGAGATTGTAGATGTATGTGTGCGGGTGTCCACATATGAGAGAAACCCTTAAAAACTTCTATTTCTGAGATAGGGCTCTTGTTGGCCCGAAGCTTGCCATGGAGGCTACAGTGGATAGCCAGCAAGGCCCTGGGACCAGCTGTCTCTGCCTTCCCAGCGCTGGAATTACAAATGTGTGCCACCATGCCTGACGTGTTCACGTGTGTTCTGAAAATGAGCACTGATGGAGCTCCCTCCTAAACCCAGTATGCATCAGTTCATGGAACTAACATCTTACCTATCATGTGCGTTATTTATAAACTTCATTACAGAAGATTTCTCTTTTGATTACTGTCATCACTACTATTTTATTTTGAGCACAATTGTTATTTTCCTATTAAATACTTTAACCATTACATGTAATGATAAATTCAGAATATTAAATTATCTTCCTCAATATATTTCCAGGTAACTAACTATTCTTTCTTTGGCCTTAGACAATAATTTGATAAGTTATCCGCTTAAGCTTCTATATAAAATTAATAAAAAGGGAGCAAATGTGAAATTTTAACAGTTCTTCAACTTTACTGCAAAGTTACATTAAGAAAGAATGTCCCAAACTGGGCAGTGGTGGCGCACACCTTTAATCCCAGCTCTCGGGAATCAGAGGCAGGCAGATCTCTGTGAGTTCGAAGCCAGCCTAGTTTACAAGAGCTAGTTCCAGGACAGGCTCCAAAGCTACAGAGAAACGCTGTCTCAAACAAGAAAGGAAAGGAAAGAAGGAAGGAAGGAAGGAAGGAAGGAAGGAAGGAAGGAAGGAAGGAAGGAAGGAAGTCCCTTATAAATATGTATGTAATTGATCTGGAAATTAAATTATTGATACCTAATTAATACTTAATATGTGCAAATAATAATTATAAGTTACATAAAGCTTTTGGGGGGCTGTTTGAGACAGGGTTTCTCTGTGTAACAGCCCTAGCTGTCCTGGAACTAGCTCTTGTAGCACAGACTGCTCTCAGACTCACAGAGATCTGCCTGCCTCTGCCTCCCGAGTGGTGGGATTAAAGGCATGTGCCACCACTGCCTGGCATATATAAAGTTTTTATAAGAGTGTTACTTCTTTCAATTTTTCATTTTCAAGATTTTTCATTCTAATTCCTTCAATAAACATATGCCAATGACAAGAGACTTACTAACATGGCAATCTTTACATTTATAAACTCTAAAAGTTAACTCTGGAAAATCTGAGTTAAGTTTAATCATCTTGGCCTTCTCCCTAAATAACTCATTACTATCTCTTTCACAACAGCACTTGAAGCTCCTTTCTTTTTTTTTTAAATATTTATTTATTTATTTGTTTATTATTGTATACAATATTCTGTCTGTGTGTATGCCTGCAGGCCAGAAGAGGGCACCAGACCCCATTACAGATGGTTGTGAGCCACCATGTGGTTGCTGGGAACTGAACTCAGGACCTTTGGAAGAGCAGGCAATGCTCTTAACCTCTGAGCCATCTCTCCAGCCCCTCGAAGCTCCTTTCTTATGGTAACATATTTTTCTGAAAATACCTCTTGCCTTCAAAGAGAATGAACTTTGGTCAGATCTTAAAATCAAGTTATAATATGCCTTAAGGTCACTTAAAACTATGTACTCAAGCTGGTGACTAACAGTGTCCTCAGCCTGTCTTAAGTTTAACTGCCTTTAAGAAAATAATGTAAGCGACCTTAGTGTGCCTTGGCCCTCCCACTTCATCACGTTTTACAAGTGAAGCGAAATGAACAGTTTTGACCTTAAACTGTATACTTTCCTATGCCTCTGTCAAAGGTGTGTAAGTGTGTGTGTGGGGGGGGTTGTAATAATAATTTATTTAAAACAGCAAACAGAGCTGGGTGGTGGTGGCGCACACCTTTAATCCCAGTACGAGGGAGACAGATGCAGTCGGATCTCTGTGTCTGGGCGAAAAAAGAAAGAAAAAGAAAGGAAAGAAAAGGAAAGGGAAGGAAGGAAGGAAGGAAGGAAGGAAGGAAGGAAGGAAGGAAGGAGGAAAAAACAGCAAACAGGTTGAAAGCAACCTTAAACAAAACAAAAAACTTATAAATATTGGAAGCAATGTTTGCATATAGGTTGATAATATCTGATTGCGGTTTTTGAGCTGCTCTGGGTCGATGACATAATTTCTTCCCTTGTAAAACTGTTAAAGGTTTCTTTAGAAAAGTATTTTCGGGGCTGGAGAGAATGGCTCAGCGGTTAAGAGCACTGGCTGCTCTTCCAAGAGGTCCTGAGTTCAATTCCCAGCAACCACGTGGTGGCTCACAACCACCATCTGTAATGAGATCTGGTGCCCTCCTCTGGCGTGTGGGCATACACAGAGGCAGAATGTTGTATACATAATAAATAAATAAATCTTAAAAAAAAAAAGTATTTTCATTCCTTTCCCACACAATGTTTTCTGTGGTATTCAACAAACATAGTGCAAAGTCCTCTGTTAGGGACAGACAGGCAACAAGGGCAGACAGATCAGACACACACGCCAGATAGCTGACAGGCCACGAACCACAAACTACAGACACAACAGGGAGAGCAGTGGAGAATTCGAAGTTGGCCTAAAGTATGCCAAGCAGAAGTCGCTCTCACTCCTCAGTGCATTACGGGCACACTTACCTTTTCCACCTTTACTGACGTCCTGAAGCAGCTTAATACCAACTTTTTTCATGTCCACAGAAAACAGATGAAGCACAGCAAGCGCAAAAGATAAAAATGGTGGTTTTCCATCCCTTTCTTGAGTAAGACATTTAACTAACTCAGCTTGGGGACACGCTGTTATTAGGTTTATCAGGTCATCTGAAAGTGAAAATGAAAAACCAAATCTCACCATCCTGAGGTGACAATCACCTAGACACAAACAGCCACGTGTACTGCTACCAATCAACGATCGTTCCCATACTTCCAAGTCCCACTTTGATCCCAGTCTAAACTCAACAGTATTCTCTTCTATTTGAAACAAAGTGAAAAAAAAAAAGGAAAATTCAAAGCAAGGAGTATCTGAAAATATAAAAATATATTACTAAATAATACTGAAGAAAAGAACTCTGTTGGCAATCAGAGACTTGACTTCTAAGCACAGACCCACCAGTCACTTGTCTTTGTGACTGTTTTCACACCTCAAAAGTACTAGAGTTGTAGAGAATTTGTAAGATTTTATGCAACACACCAGGTGGTGGTGGCAAACACCTTTAATCCCAGCACTTGGGAGGCAGAGACTGGCAGATTTCTGTGAGTTCAAGGCCAGCCTGGTCTACAAGAGCTAGTTCCAGGACAGGCTTCAAAGCTACAGAGAAACCCTGTCTTGAAAAACAAACAAATAAACAAACAAACAAACAAAGATTCTATGTGACACTAGGTTGCATTTATTTTGTCTGTTTCTTAGTAATAAATAATCAATGTAGTTGGCTTTTTAAAATTATTTGCCTATGTGTGTGCATGTACGTGCATTTCTTTTTGCTCATATACAGACCAACCTCTAGTGAGTATAATATCATATTTCTTTTTGTGTGCTGCACAGAAAATAGAACCCAGAGTCATTTCTTCTTGACTAAAAGTATCAAGTATTAATACCCAGGCAGTGGTGGTATACTCTTAATTGCAGCACTAAAGGCTGGCCTCGAACTCAGAGAGATTCACCTGCCTCTGCCTCCCAAGTGCTGGGATTAAAGGCATGTGCCGCCACTGTCTGGCTGAATCACTCAGTTTTAACATCTAAAATTAACTCATTTCTTTCTATTACACTCAATAGTTATTCAAACTTCTCTCCTGTAAATTGATTTCTTTACCAATATTACCTGCAGGAGTTGATGTCTCATTAGAAAAGATCGCATTCCTAATCTGCCCCTCTTGGCTTACTGCCCCCTCTTTGCTGGAGACACGTCAATCATCTCATCTCCCATGTGCTGTCCTAATAAAAGTGTAAGCTTGTTACTTGCTTCACCCACAAATGCCCAGAACAGTGGTTCTACAATGTCACTCTGGTGTTACAGCAGACACAATGAGCCATCTATTTTCAAGAATCTTCTCTTTGTGGGGGACTAGGAAACATTTATCTCCCTCTTCCAACAGTCCCAGTGACAAACCAAACTCAGTTCCACCAAAGTTCCCCTGGAGAACCCACGAGTTTATTGGGCTTATTTATAAAAGCATGGTGAGGGGTTGCTCACAGGAGTGTGGGTGACATCAAAGTGACTACATTGGACAGTCTTCACCATGCATTAATAATGACTTTGCCATAGACGTCTAGTCTTCTCTAGCCTATAAATGTTTTTCCTGCCTGAGATATCAAAGCCACATGCAAGCAGAGCAGAAGTGCATACTGTTGGGAAGTAGCTAATACTCAGATGAGGCTCTACGACCCTCCTGGCTCCCTCAATAGTCAGCGAACCCCACTGTAATGATCGTTCATAATTGGGCCCATCTGAACTCATGAAGATGGCAGGTGTTTGGTTGGGAGGAAAAAGATCAACACCTAGACATTACAAAGAAATAAAAATGTAAAATAATGTCACTTTTTTGACTAAATTTTTAGATTCTGGAAAACAAAGTTGTTTTTCATAAAATTATTTATGACAACATGTTATGGGTTTATTATTGCTACTTTAAATAAGTTGTTAAATATTTCACATTGTCTTTTAATTATATATATATATATATCCATAAGTGTGTGTGTGTGTGTGTGTGTGTGTGTGTGTGTAAAATCATTGTAATAGTTCAAGTGAGACCTGAGAAAAGATCATTTGAGAAAATTGTGATCTAGGATAAAACAGTTTCCAGATAGATGCTTACTAAGTTCACTTTGGTGGTGGAAAAGATGAGCAAACAAATAATTTCAGGCATTTTGGTTATGCTCTAAGTTTTGCTTTTTGATAGAGTGTCTTGCTATGTATCCCTAGCTGGCTTGGAACTTGTCATATATCCCAGACTGGCCTCAGACTTGTGATCTTCCTGCCTCAGCCACCGAAGTGCTAGGAAGACAGGTGTGGACTGCCATGACCAGCCTTCATTTTCAGAAATGGTTAAGGGGAAAAAATAACTACAATCTTCATTGTCTCTACTGCTGTGGTCTTGTCTTAAGAGCAAGGTGTCATCCCACCAGGAGGAAAACTTTCTGATGGGAAAAACCTCATTAGGAAAGACCATGAGGCTACAGACTCTGGAATATCTTTTGCTTCTGTCTGTAACCTCACATGTGTTACTGCAAATGTCCCAGTATCATAATGTATTCATCTCATGAATACCTCCCGATCTACTGGGCATTTTATCTGTGGATTGTCCAGAAGGTGACACCTCCTTCAGCTGCATTGTCTAATTGATATCAATAATGTTAGCTGATACAAAATTCTGATGAATAACAATGAATACAAAGAATTACTACACAGTCAGGGTCTATGGGTGTCCCTAGGAGCTGCTTTAGACCACAGCTCAAGTTGACGATTAGGAAAACAGTTGAAGATTCCCCAGTTGCCAGGACAGTTGTGCACTATCAGGTGACCTAAAACTTCAGCGTAGCTTTAGATTAGACCAGATGCCTTGTTAATAGTTTTTAAGAAAAAAGTATTCCCAGGCGCTGGAGAGATGGCTCAGCGGTTAAGAGCATTGCTTGCTCTTCCAAAGGTCCTGAGTTCAATTCCCGGCAACCACATGGTGGCTCACAACCATCTGTAATGAGGTCTGGTGCCCTCTTCTGGCCTGCAGGCATACACGCAGACAGAATATTGTATACATAATAAATAAATATATTAAAAAAAAAGAAAAAAGAAAAAAGTATTCCCAGAAAAGCAACCTAGCTTACAAGGACATATAGCTGAGCTGTGTGATTTGTTAAGCCAGAGTTAAAACTGCAAAGCAAGCTAATTGCTACACAAGCTAATTGCTACACACACTTTCCTTGCTAGGTCTGACTGATAACCTAGGACAATAATTACAGTTTTTGCTCAGAATCACTGCGGGGAAAGATTTTTTAACTGGCCAGAGCTACAAAAAAAAAAAATAATTTGACTTCATAGACCTGAGAAAGAGTTACAAATTTCCTTTTTTTTCTTTCAGTTTTTCAAGACAGGGTTTCTCTGTATCTTTGGAGCCTGTCCTGGAACTAGCTCTTGTAGACCAGGCTGGCCTTGAACTCACAGAGATCCACCTGCCTCTGCTTCCAGAGTGCTGGAATTAAAGGTGTGTGCCACCACCGCTCGGCCTGTTTCTAATTTTTAAGCTTCATTTGTCTCAAGTTACTATAACTTTTTTATCTAATAGTAATGTGAAGTCAATACTGAGGATGAATACCAAGTTTCTAAACACGAAGGAGAATTATATCTTAAATTATTACAAAATAATTAATTCAGAATATAATGCATTTTTAGGGAAACACAATAATATGGCAGTCAATTGTGTTTCTGTGCACTTATAGAATGTAAATTTTGCAATAAAAAAGAAACTTCACTAGTGTGTGTATTCATGTGTATGTGTACACATGCAAGCATGTGTGTGTACTTGTGGAAGCCAGTGGGTAAAATCAGGTAACAATTCTCAAGCACTCTCCATTTTGTTTTGTTTTTCAATTTGTCTACTTAAATGGTTTTTTCTGTGTGTGTGGTGTTTTCTCTGCACGTGCCTGTGGACTATCGCCACAGAGGATAGTCCCGATGCCCTGGGACCAGAGTTATAGACAACTGTGAGTGACCATGTCCTCTGGAAAAACAGCTCTTAAGCTGTTTCTCCAGTTTCCACATCCAGTTTCTTTCCTACTTTTTCCTCTCTCCCTCCATTCATCCCTCCCTCCCTCCTTCCCTTCCTCCCTCTCTCTCTCTCTCTCTCCTTTTTTTTAGTTCTTTTGTTTGAGACGGGGTCTCTCTGGCTAGTGTGGAACTCACTATGAAGGCCAGGCTAGCCTTGAACTCACAGAGATTTGTCTGTCTCTAACTCTGAGTACTGGGATTAAAGGCATGCACCACCACCTGACCCACACCCAGATTCCTAACATAGGTTATGGGATGGGATCAGATTCAGGTTGCTATGTTTGCAAGGCAAACTTTTTTTGTGGACTAGGCTATCTATCTTCCTAGACTTGAAGCATCACATTTGGTTTCATAAATATTCCAACCATAATATTCTCCTATTTTATATCGAAACACTAATATAATTCTTTCAGATGAAAAACAGCACAGAAACTGAATCTGTATTTTTAATTAGTAATATAATCCATAATTCACTCAACAAATTTAGGAGAGTGGTACCCACCCACTCTACCAGACTGCTCTGTTACTTTATAATTACTGGAAACGCCCCAGTGTGCCTTAGCCTCCCTGGGAAAACATGAGCTGCTTCTGTCTATAAAGCAGATGCCAGAACTGATGTTACTTCAGACTCAACAGAAGGATGAGGTGAAACAATGTAGCCACAGCTCCTGCTCCATAATGGAAGACACCAGGGCCTTCCAAACACATACATCATGAGTACACATACTACTCGAAAAATGATCAGATTCAACAATCATATATCCTTCTTCCTGGAAAATACAGCTTAAAGTTGCTGTTTCTGTCTGCTTTGCAACCTGGTGTGGGAGAATTGTCTGTATTCTGTCAATTATGTTTCAATCTCTTTATTTCTTTTTTTATATTGGCTTATTTGTTTCTGTAACTTCTTAAAGTAGAGGGGGAAAAAAAGCCTGGGAAATGGGAGGTGCCAGGACTGTGGGGACCTTAAACTCACTGTGGCCGGGACTCACAGTCAGAGATCAGCTCACTGAGCTGGGGCCGGACTACTACCCACAGTTCTCTTGGGTCACATTTCACCACGAGCTGGGTATCACAATTCTGAAATTAGCGTCATTTCTGTAGTACTTCATTTATAACTATTATAATACATTGTTATACATGCATTATATATGAAAATTTCAGTTATTTTAAAAATTCTTTACATAGTATCGTCCATCATATGAAGTAAATTTGTCTTTAATATTACATATTTCCAGTAATAGCCACACATTAAATGTTTCCTTTGAGAAAATGCATAATGCATATGATGAAATTCAATTACACTACCTTAGTTTCATGTAAACTCACAAAAGAAATCTCCCATCGGTGTGTATAAAATACTTTATAAGCTTAGTTTCAAACACAGCCAGCTGCTACGAAAGACATCAGAGTTCAGCTGTATGGAAGTGAGCAGGCGTCTTACTCACCAAAGGTGAAGTCCTTGAACTGTTGCATCTGTTCCACAGCCTCATGAATCTGACCCTGTTTACACAGGCAAAGAAGAGCTTTCTTGTGTAAACCACATTCATTGTAGATAATCTGAGCTAAAGCCAAGCAGTTAGGCCTGTGGTATGTGTTCTGCTCCCCATAAGCAAAAACAATATCCCCAGCCTTCTCAGAAAATGTCAGCCTGAAGCAAGCAGATGATCAAGGCACATGTCAGGGAATTCTTCATGCATGGCTGAGACTGAAATATCTGAATATTCAGGACTCTAAGAATGGGTTATAAATAACCTATAAGAATTGTAAGTCAATAAGCAATTGATGATGAGGTAGCAATTAAACACATTTGAAATTGGCAAAACCAAAAGAAATCAGCACTTACTGCTTTGGGAAGGTATTTTGATAAAATTGAGATCAAATTTGTTAAGGTCTGTAAGCAAGACTTAAACTCCCCTGCAAAGACTAACAGAATTAAAATTGGCAGGTAAAGGCCAGGCAGTGGCGGTACATGCCTTTAATCCCAGCACTAATATTTTAAATATATTTTAAAATATATTTTAACTAATGGCTGCAAAACAGCAGGGTTCACATAATACAGGTAGTGTCTGTATACTTCTAACAACATGCCGGTAACATTAACATGAAATCCTGATACCTCTACAAAATGTCTTGTGATTCAACATGCTTTAAAAAAAAATCTGTATTTATTTGGGTAGAGTGGAGGATAGTTCAAGAATCAGAAAACTCACCTTTTCTTTATAAACCAGCCAAGTTGATAAACAAGAAAGGCTGGGCCAATCCCTCAGGGTGGAACAGCTTCAGGCACGCTCTGTGTGTGGGGTGCAGCTAGGGCTCTGCTGTGTGCTTCCCTGTTTGCTGCACTCAGCTTCACTGGGAAGCCCAGAGTCTCCTTCCCACACCCACCCCCCATCTCAGGCTCTGGTTCTAGAGAGGCAAAAAATCTGCCAGTCTGTAGGAGACCTGACTTCAAGAGGCTGCTACCTGCTGGCTTAAGTGTTCTTCAAAACTCCTCATGGTGACTGTGGCCAATGTTCTTCCTCAATAGATATTGTCTCCTGTGTTATTCTACATGGCGCTATAGCCTGGGTAGAATCAGGTTCCTTGTCTTATCCTGCCCAACAAGTGTGCTACTGAGCATCCTGTCTGTGCCCGTGACACCCCACTTCCACCTGCTATTAAGTTGCCATGCTTTATCTTGTGAACTTCACTGAAGTGACTGTCAGTCTGCGTGCTTTGTGTCTGGGCCTTCATAGACACTTTCTACTTAATTTCAACAGGGAACTGAAGTAAATTATAAAACACAGCATTTATATCAAAGCATTAGCTGGATGTAGGGTGACAAGCCTATAATCCCAGCAGGCAGGAGACTGCGGCAGAGGGATTAGACCTGGAGGCCAGTCTAGGCTACACTGAGAAACTCTAGCCCACAAACAACAAACTATTCTAAGTCAGAGGAAAAACAACTATATTAATCATATGTCAAAATTAAGTTAGCAGCTTAAAATTGCTTACTTTTCCTGGGTGACCCAATGGGTAACTAAATCAAGCCGTTTTTCAGATAGTCCACATTTGATTCCCTCCACGGTTAGGTCAGCATTAATAGGGCGTTTGAAGGCCTGACTTGTGCTAAATATAGCCTCAAAAAACAAGAGTAATGGGAGAGGTTTTCCTCTAATTTTTCCAACAGCTACAAAAAGAAAAAAAAAGTTTGAGTTAAATACATTAAGAATTAGTTTGCCTTTTCTTATTTCATGTTACTACTTTAATTTCTTTACATTTTCTAACCCTTTAACAATGAATACAGAATACACGTTACATTTTATAATAGTATCATTATATATCGCTATGTATCACTATGCATTGTTATGTACCACTATGTATCATCACTATGTAGGCCACATGAGGATGGAGGTGGAGACTGTAGTGATTTATCTGCAAGTCAAAGGATGCCAAAGTTGCTGAATGCTACCAGCAGCTTAGATACTTCCCCATTCATAGAAAGCAGTGCATGCCTGTAATATAGAAAACTATCTATGGTTGGAGAAGTCAGAGACCTTAGAGGAGAACCTCCTATAGCTATTTTTATAATATTTTCATAAGCCAATAGAATTTCTTACTGTATTCGAAATACTTATCTATACAGATAAGTGTAGCTCTCACCCCTCATCAAAGAAGCTTCATTTTGCAGCAAATGGAGATTATTACAGAGATCTACAACTGGTCAAAATGTAGAGGAAGAGACTGAGGTGCCTGACCCCAAATGATACATCTACAGCATAACCCTAAAGGCTCAGGAAAATCACAGAAGAGGGGACAGAAAGATCACAAGAACCAGAGGCCCAGGAGTCTCTGCTGATACTGTTTTCTAGATATTACAAGGAAGCTGCACACATGGAATCTTAACAATATGATCGCCTAAAAAAAGACCTGGCAGTGGTGGCACATGTCTTTAATCCCAGCACTCAGAAGGCAGAGGCAAATGGATTTCTGTGAGTTCACGGCCAGCATGGTCTACAAAGTGACAGCCAGGGGTACACAGAGAAGCCCTGTCTTGAAAACTACAGAAGAAAAGGACTTGCAGAATGACAACACCAGCTGACATGCCGATATGATGGATGCCACCCATAGATAGAGAGCTGCAGAGGGCCAGTGGCTGCTGAGGGGGGGAGGATCAGTTTTCACATGGGATGAGCTGAGCAACACTAAATGGGTTCTGTAGGGTGTGAGTGTGTGTGTGTGTGTGTGTGTGTGTGTGTGTGTGTGTGTAAAATAATGATTAAAGAAGAGGTTACCCAGCAGTGGAGTCGCACTTAGGAGGCAGAGACAGGTGCATCTCTGTGAGTTGGAGGCCAGCCTGGTTTATAGAGCTGGTTCCAGGACAGCCAGGGCTACACAAAGAAACCCTGTCTCAAAAAAAAAACAAAACAAAAAAAGAGCCAGACAGTGTTGGCACACACCTTTAATCCCAGCATTCCGGAGGCAGAGACAGGCGGTTCTCTGTGAGTTTGAGGTCAGCTTGGTCTACAAGAGCTAGTTCCAGGACAGGCTTCAAAGCTATAGAGAAACCTGTCTCAAAAGACCAAAAAAAAAAAAAAAAAAAAGAAAGTAAACTTCAAAAAAAAATATATTATAAAATCTTTTTTTTTTCTGGTGGGGGGGGTTGAGAAAGGGTTTCTCTGTGTAACAGGCCTGGCTGTCCTGGAACCAGCTCCTGTAGACCAGACTGGCCTCGAACTCACAGAGATCTGCCTATCTCTGCCTCCTGAGTACTGGGATTAAAAGCATGCACCACCACTGCCCAGCAATAATATAACATCTTGATGGTGAATATATTAATATTCATACTTTTCTGTATATGAAATATTTAATTTAATTTAGAAAATTGAATTAAACCCCTACTATTACAGCTAAGGAAGCAGTAAATAATAAGGGGGTAATGAAGGACTAGCCTCTCAGTAATATTATTTTCACTCTATTAAGGAAAAGTAAAGTATAATTTACATATGTATTTCAGAAAGATTTGCTTACCCTTAAATTTATTCATTGTACCAATATTTTGAAGAATTCTTCTTGGACTGTTTGCTGCAAAAGAAGCTGCCTTCTCATATTCGCCAAGGGAGATTAATTCATTGAACCTACAGCCATTGCATTTCAAAACACATCACAACGATACACAAAAACCAAATATTAGACACTGAGTACAGTGGTACAGGGAAAACAAAGTAAAGCAATAAGTTACAACTAGACCCATCCACGCAGTAGGATGTTCAGGTCTTCTCTGAGTTCTTGAGTTTGACTGTTTGTCTCAGGGTTAAATTCTCACCTTCTCAGTAACTTTGCACCTGACCCTGCACCTTGTCCCCACAGGGCTCACATAGAAATCAGGAAGAACACAAGAGCCATCTGCTTAGAAACTCAGCCTGGGAAACAACGGAACACAGATGCAGCCCAGGAGGAGTACCAGGAGGAGTTCAGAAGCAGTACTGCTGTCAACCTCAATCTCCCTGCGAGCACAGAGATAAGAGCTCAGGAAGCCTTTACTCTCCCTCCTCCACACAGCAAAGGTCCCAAACTCGCCGTCAGGAAAGGAGTAGTCATGGAGTTGCAAAGGAAAGTAGAAGAAAGTGGAAAAACAAAGTAACCTGCAAATGTACGATAAGACTTTGAATCTTAGGGACATTGTGGCCATGCCTTTAATCCCAGTACTCGGGAGGCAGAAGTAGGCAGATCTCTGTGAGCTCGAGGTCAGCCTGGTGTACAGAGTGAGTTCTAGGTCCACCAGGGCTACATGGAGAAACCCTGTCTCAAAAAACCAAAAACCAAAACCAAAACCAAAACAAACCAAACAAGACTCAGAATTTCAACAAAAGTGTTCCTTGCATCTGAAAACCTGAGAGTACTATGAACACGCCCTGTTCTTTCTACCACAACAATAAACAAATCAGCAAGTGGAAACTGCTTAACATTTCATTATAGATATTAAATACGCCACTTACATTACCCTGATAGCTTGTAAATTAACCTTAGAATAGTTTACATCTATCTCAGATAACACATATAGAACATGCATTAGTTCACTGCTCTCTGGTCTTGGCTGTGGATATAATACTCCAGCCGCTTCAGGTCCCTAGCTCCTTGACCTCACTACGATGACGGTCTGTAACCTGGAGTTATGCAAGACAGTTCTAAACCTCCTACTAGTGCAAGAGTCAGACTGGCTCAGCAAGGTAAGGTGCTTTGCACTATGCCTGATACCCTGAGTTCCATTCCCAACACCCACGTGGTAGAAAGATCAAACACTCCTACCCACTGTCCTCTGACTGCTAGGGCCCCTTCCTACCCCCACAAAATAAATAAATAAAGTGTAATTAAAAATAAAAATAAGCCAGGTGGTGGTGGTGGCACACGCCTTTAATCCCAGCACTGGGGGGGGGGGGGGCAAAGGTAGGCAGATCTCTGTGAGTTCAAGGCCAGCCTGGTTTACCTCCAGGACAGTCAGAACTGTTTCAGAGAAACCCTGTCTCAAAAAACAAAAACAGAAATTAATTAATTAATGAGAAAATATTATATATAGTAATAAGTAACCTAAATATATCATAGAGTAAAAATAATTACAAAAAGAGATTACACTAGCTACGGGAATCTAAAATTATCTGATAAATTCATAGATATTCATAAAAATCTATGAAAAAAGAAAATTCTAACTTTTTTTCTAATTCGTCAAATGCAACAGAAAATTTTCTTCCCCCCTCACAATTTGCCCACCCTCCACCCACCTCCTGCCTACTCTTTCCCCTCACTCCTCCTCTAGGAACAGAATTTTTAAATTACAGAAGACAAACTTGTAAGCCACAGTTCAGGAGGTGGGCAGGAGGGTCAGTAGTTTAAGGTCTTCCTACACTACACGCTGGGGTTGTTAGATGGTATCTCAAAATAAACAGGACCAACTCAGGAGGCAGAGGCAAAACTCTGTGAGTTCGAGGTCAGCCTGGTCTACAGAGGGAGTACCAGGACAGGCTCCAAAGCTACTCAGAGAAACCCTGTCTTGAAAAACCAAAAAACAAAACAACAAAAACAAAAACAAAGAAAAATAAAAGAAACAACAAAAACCTTCCCCAAACAAACAAATCCAAAATACAAATGATATTTGCCTTTCAATGTAGTAAAGAATAATTATAGCTTCTTTCGTTTTGCTTGGGTCATCTTCAAACAGCTCATCAATAATGCTTTCATTACCTAAAGAGTGAAAGACAATCTGTGATGGTGAGCTAGACTGTTCTACTGCTTTGGTTTCAAACAAACACCCACCCTTTCCTAAAGGGGTAGCTTCTCTCCCTGGCCTCCTTCTCAGGAATACCCTCAGGCTTCTCTCTCTCTCTCTCTCTTTCTCTCTCTCTCTCTCTTTCTCTCTCTCTCTCTCTTTTTCTCTCCAGCATGTCTGTGTGAGGGTGTCAGATCCCCTGGAACTGGGGCAAACTGTTTGCGTCACTGTGGGTGCTGGGAACTGAACCCTGGTCCTGTGCGAAAGCAGTCAGCGTTCTTCCCCACTGGGCTATCCCCAGCCCCAGGTCTACTATTTCATCAATCATCTGTCAGGCGCTGAAGGAAGAAACCCACAGGGTCAGAGCGAGCTAGAGGAGGTCGTGTATTTTAAAACTCAGCCTAGAAACCCTTTAACGCTGGGGGAGAGCCTTCTACTGCTTATGCTGATTTAGGAGACAGATAACTACCGAAGACTGCTTTGGTTTTCTGAATTTTCTCCAAGATGTCTTCAAATGGGATTCTCAAGTTATGCTTCAGCCATGAAGTAAGTATGTGTGAAATAACCTGCATTCTTTGATGGCTGTAAAAGAAGAGCATCAACAACAGCCTGAGCTAGGACCACACAGCAGAAGCTGAGAGGAAACAAAAGCTAACTCAGGTACATACCGAAACTGCAGGTCTTTGTTCAGACTTTCAGCTAAATCTCGGCGTTTCAGTAACACAATCATTTCTTCATCCAGGTCAGTCTTCTTTTGGGCTGGTACATACTGTGTTGACATATCTTGCTTACACTTTATATATTTATCTTCAAGATGCTGCTTATATTTATTGAGAGCATCCAGATTGACAGAATCTTGAAGAGTCATCCCTATAGGAAAAACAAACAGGAGTGAGTCTCATGGAGGACTGTTTACTGCATGATAAATTCAGAAATGGTAACGGGAACTTATAGCTTCCTGAACATAAGTACAATTATCACAATATTTTAATGCTAATAGCTTTTTGTTTTTATATCTCCTTGTTTATTGTGGAGCTGAGAACTCTGGCTTTATGCAAATTAGGCAAATTCTCCAAGCCCAGCTGAGTTCTATAAATTCAATGAAGATTGACTTCCTAGAACATACAAACCAAACATCTAGTGACCGAGCTAAGATTAGGACAACATATTTCCCTCAAATCACATCTTCTACTACTCTCCAAGAACTAACCATGGGGCAATGCTTTCTTTTTTTCCGACACAAACTGATGCAAACCAAATTTTGGGATGTCTCTTATTCTTAAAATGTCTCTTCTGTTCATTACACCTCTCTCTCTCTACACACACACATACACACACTTCAAATGCCTTCCTTTCTCAGCTGGCCAATTACTGACATTAGGACCCACATCCAGAGCCAGGTGTAGTGGTACATTGGGGACAGGGGAGGCAGGGACAGGATCTCTGTGAGCTCAAGGTCATCCTGATCTACAAGGTAAGTTACAGGACAGCCAGGCTACACAGAGAGAACCCATCTTTAAACTAACTAACTATCTAAATAAATAAATGACACATCCCCAGGGTTGGAGAAATGGCTCACTGGTTAAGAGTGCTGGTTCTTTTGCTGGTCAATTTCCAGCACCAACAGGGTAACTCACAACCTCCTGTAACTTCAGTTCTAGGGGCACTGATGCCTCTCCTGACCTCCATGGGCACCAGGTGTGCATGTGGTGCACAGACATACATGTAAACAAAATACCCATACATATAAAATAAAAAACAATAAAAACTGGGACTAGAAAGATGGCTCAATGGTTAAGAACATTGGCTGTTTTTATAGGGAACCCAGGTTCAATTCCCAGCACCTACATGGTAGCTCACAAGCATCTGTATGTAACTCTAGTTTCAGGAGATCCAGTGCCCTCTTCTGACCTCCAAGCACCAGGCATTGCACATGGTGCACAAACACATGTTTTTAAACCCATAAAATAAAAATTTAAAAATAATAATAAAAACTAAAACATTAAAGAAAAAGGACACACCAGAATTTCTCCACCCTCAGGATTAATCCTTTTGGAGTTTAAGCATTCCCCTGCCCCCAATCTTCTTTGAAGTTAGCCAACGTGCTGTGTGTTCTGCGCTTATTTACATTTATTATTTGGAGTTTGCTAGTCACAGTTTCACATTTGAAAATAAATCTAATCCCTACTATTACCAAATGCAAGAGGATTTGACATCTGAAGTCAAAATTTTGTAGTATAGAATAGTTATTACCACAAAACACAACTTCTTCAATTTAGGTGAAATTTGTCTTCCTGAAGTTTCCACCTACTGGTTCTGCCTCTGGACAAACACTAAGCAAAAACTCTTTAAGTTCTGAAGCTACTGACCTCAGATTACTCTCCTGTCTTGTGAGTCAGTCTGTTCATCATATTAATCTCTCTGAGTCCCAGATGAAACCAAGAGAGACGCCATTTATTAAAGTCATGAAGACATGAAACCCGTGAATGTGAACATCACCATGAATAACATTCATCAAACTTAATATGCTATAATTTTTTAATAGACCAGTGGCTCTCAAATTTTAGAGTGTATCAGAATAACCAGAATTTGAGACAACAGCACCCAATGGACTCTTTCATCAAGTTTCTGACATAACAAGTCTGAGATGTAAAGGTGTGTGTTTGTGTGTATATGTATGCAGCAGGTGTACATACACATGGGTGTAAGTACATAGTTTATATCAGGGGTCTTCCTCCAGCTGAGCAGCTCCAAGGATCCACTTGTTTCTGTCTGTCTGTCCACCCCAGCACTGGTTAAGAGTGGACACCGGCTCTCACTAGGGAGCGTCTCTGAACGCTGAGTGCACAGCAGCAGGCACCTGACTAATCCACCAACCACAAGGATTTCTACTTTTGATCATTCTCAAGGGTTGCAACATGGACGTGGGAGCATCATGTGAGCTGGTCAGACTGCAGTCTGGACATCTTTCAGAGTTGCTTCAAGTTTGCTCTTTCCTGAGTATCTACTAGGACCCTGTCTAAAGTTGCTTGTACAACACATATATTAGCAGATTATACTGTTTTTCTTTTTTGTAAAAAAAAAAATGTTTGATGTTTGTGTGAGAGTCAGCCAGCCGGACACACTGGGAACCCCTGAACCGGGGCTGCACCTGGGATGGGTCTCCAGAGCTGCCTGGTGGAAGCACAGAGCTTCACCTCCTTCTTGTCATACTCTGCCCTCAGCTGTTTCATCTCCTCTATTTGCGACTGAATCACTTTGGAATTATTTTCAATAATCCTCACTCTGAAAGAAAAAACAGAAATGCTTTTGTGTGCTTGTTGCAACCAATTTAATTCTTGAATCACAATATTTAAAGTAAAACAGACTAGATTGTTGCTTTATTTGGCTAATTGCAATTTGAACCGTTATGAACTAGATGTTTAGAAAAGAATGCCTAGAGAAAGCTGACACACAAACAGGGAACAAGTTCCGCTCAGAATGCCAATGAAAGCAGGCACTATTATTGCTAACCCATTGCAAATCAACAAATATTAGCTATAGTCTGTTTACAAACACCGTCTATTCCACTTAGTAAAAACAACCGCTACAACTGAAAAAGTATTTTCAATTTTCTTTTTTCTTTCTTTTGAAAGGATCTTATTATGTAGCTAAATTTGGCCTTGAATTTGTGAGCCTGCTCCTTCAGTGCTGGGTTACAGGCGTGAACCACTTCACTAGGCTTAAAGAAAAGCTTTAAACAGTCAAAAGAAGAAAAGAAGGAAAAGAAAACTGCTACTTTGCTGGGGGCTATTGCAACAATCATTACAAATTTTGAGACTTAGCAACATTATCTTCTCATCATTCTGGAGGCCAGAAGTCCAAAAGTAGTATGACATCTAGTACACCACACTAAAGTGTGAGAAACTAGTGTTTGGGAAGTTGAGACAGAGATTGCTGTAAGTTTGAGTTCAACCAGAGCTACAGAGTGAAACCTTATCTCAAAAACATTGTTTTTCAAAGGGCATTTTATCATTTGGTTGGTCACTTATTGTTGGGGAATCACCGGACGGAGCACTGCAATGTTGATGGGAATCATGAACTTATACTGTCAAACCGCTCATGCATGAAACGACCCCCCACTTTCATGATACCACAATGTACCTCCACTATACTAAGAGGGATCATAAAATCCTCAAGCAAAAATATTAACAGTTTTACTCAAAATACATAATAATACAGTTGGTAGAAGGAAATATAAAACTACAGCTTTAACATTAAATGTAATTAAATATAGGCATGGTATAATTCTATTACCTTAGCACTTGAAGGCTGAAGGTCTTGAGCAAGGCCAACATGGTGAATACACAGTTGGCTTAGGCTGAATAATGACACCCTGTCTCAAAATAATAAACCAAACAGTACGACTAAAGACCAACAATTATTACTATCGAGTAGCATGACACGTTACTGACATACTCACTTTGCTTCAAGTTGGATGGCTCTTCTCTGGTGATACACCAGTGCTGTGGGCTCTGCTGCCATTACTTTAAGTTTCCCATGAAGATAAAAAGCAGTTCTTCGGCCTTTCTTTATTGTCTCAATAAAGGCATCATATTCTTTTTTGATTGAAGTAAGAATGGACTTGTATGAATTGACATAGTCTATTATCTGAAATAAGATTTCTCTGTGGTGCTGAATTTTTTTTAACAGAAGATACTGTAATCAAAAGCCTTTTAAGCAGATTATTTTTAGGTGAGTAAAGACTACTAATTAGAAATATAAACATCTTACAGCAAACTCAACATGACTATGCACTAGAAACAATAACCACAAAATACATGCTGTGAGTCATTGAATGATGCGGGAGAATTGTCTGTATTCTGTCAATCATATTTTAATAAAACGCTGATTGGCCAGGCAGGCAGTATAGGCGGGAAAACCAGACAGGAAGTAGAGGTGATGCAATGAGAACAGGAGAATTCTGGGAATCAGGGAGGTTCCTTAGCCACTCCTGTAACTTGCCCAGCTGAGAAAGGTACGGAGCCATGGGCTAACGTAGATAAGGATAATGGAGTAACAAAAGTTGTAAGAACTAATGAGTAGCCTGACCTAGTGGGCCAATCAGTTTATAATCTTATGGAGTCTTGTGCGTGATTTTCTTTGTTGCTTGCCGGCTGTTGGGGTACTGGGCGGGACAGAAACTCCAACAAGCCGGCCTTCGTGTTACAGAATGGCGTCCAACATGGATAACTGAATCCACAAAAAGCCTGAAAAAAGTTGGGAAAGACTAGAGTAAAGCATTTTGGTTTACAGCCGTAGCAGGAAAAAAAGCTGCGCTGTTTTAAAATGCCGGCTTTCTGGGCCAGGGAAAACTCTGACTCTTTCAAGCAGGCGGTCCTGACTATGGAAACATTGTTGCAGCTTGCTTCCTGGCAAGGACCTTGAAAAGCCATAGGAACTTTTGAGTGTTGTCTTCTCCATATTCCCTAGCAAATTAAAGACCCATGTAGTCAGAAAAAGAGAGATATACAGTAAAGAGAGATTCAAAGAAGAAGAAAACCTCTAAATGGTTTACTATAACTTACAGAGATCTGTGTGGTTGATTTTGTCTGGGACTTGTGACAATGGGGAACCAGGTGGGACAGATACCCAAACAAGCCTAGCCCCTCATGTTACAATTGAACTCACAGGGATCCACCTGCCTCTGCCTCCCGAGTGCTGCAATTAAGGCATGCACCTCCACCGCACAGCTGCAGGGTGTGCTCCTAACCACTGAGCAGTCTCCCTAGCCCCCACTGAGATATTGCGATCTGAACTCATTCACTTCCACTAGGAAAATCAGAGTCCCTGCGTTCCTAATTGCATCTCTAACCTCAACATGTCAAAAACAACTTTGAAAACAACCCTTATCACTACATATTCATGGTTTCCAATTATATTTGAGAAAAACATCTATCAGGAAGGACAACAGAGGAAAAGAACAACAGCAAGTTAACAAAGAAACTAAGTGCCTGCAGAAAAGACAGGTCTCGATGCAAGGGGCTGAATCACAGAGCACACTGCTTTGTGAGGCCTTCTTTCCTTAATCTCGTATATATATTACTCATGCAAAAATAAATTATCAAAATTTTAAAAAGGTTAAGAAATAAACAGAAAAAATTAGGTTTTTCACATACTGATGATATATAGATAATAAAAGTAATCAATCCAAAACTTTCCCTGAAATCTGACATTATGTTTGTTCATCTCTGCGGCATTTCTTGGGTTATGTTACCCTCCATGAGTTTTCTTTAGCTAAATAGTATCTAAACAAAGATATTCAGGAAGATGTCCATTTTACCACATGTGGTCTAGAGAGGTCTTTACTCTGGAGACGCAGCTGTTCCCCCACCAGGAACTCTCCTGAGGAAGGCCTTTCCACACTGGGTCTCCTGCTCCCTGCTCCTGGTCATCCTGTCTCGCACGCTCCTGTAAGGCTCTGATAATCCAGCTCAGACACATTAGTGGCTATTAAAGCAGCTGCAGTGTCAGTGGGCCAGGAGAAACAGGTGGCAGTAGAGCACACGTGAACACCTTTTCTGAATACACAGAAAAGCATTAAAGTGGAGGACGCAAACTGGCATACCACCCGTACATAGAGCTGGCGATTTCACCTTACACACAGAACATTTAAAAGTTTGGGACTTTTTTTTTTTTTTCACCAATCTACTGATAGCTCTTTGAAAATTCTGCGAGACTAAGACGACAGAGGCAAGCCCCGTGCCTTAATGGCAGGTTCACTGGGTTGGTTCTTCATTCTCCTATAGCCTCCACCATTCCCTATCTGCTCACCTAGCCTATGTGATTCTTTTAGAGTATTTTTCTGACCTCTACTTTTCTTCATTCCTTTGGTGGGTATATTGCTACTTTCTACTTTCTCGTTTCCCCTTTCTTTTCCTTTCCTTTGGTTTCATATGTCCCAAGATGGCCTTCAACTCACTATGTAGCTAAGGATGACATTAAATTTTTGATATTCTTGCCTCCACTTTCCAAGTGTTGAGATTACAGGTGTGCACCACCATGCCAGACATAAACCATGTGGTAATGAGGATGGAACCTAGAGCCTTGTGCCTGCTGCCCAAGCTACATTCCCTGTCTCTGTACTTACTTCTCCTTAGAGCAAGGACTTCGGCTTTTAAAACACTCTTCTTTGGGCTGGAGAGCTAGATGGCTTGGTGGTTAAGAGCACTGGCTGCTCTTCCAGAGGACCCAGATTCACTTCCCAGCACCCACAAGGCAGCTCACAACTGTCTGTAACAACAGTTACAGCTGATCTAACACCCTCACACAGATATGAATGCAGACAAAACACTAATGCACATAAAGTAAAAATTAAATTAAAAAACTGCCTTTTTAAGCATATATTCATCATAGATAATAAGTTTCATAATGACATTTCCATACATGTGTTTTAATTTTAATACTCTTCCTTTTCCCAAACACATGCTACTTGTACCCTATATTTATTTATTTTGAGCTTAATTAGGATCGCTTCTATGAGCAGAAGTGAGAGATTACTCATCAGAGCATTAAGCAATTGACCAGTGACTACAATACGGAAGAAAATGTCTCTCTCCCCAGTCCCCAGCAACCACTGATGGCCTAAAGATCCTCAGAAGGAACTAGGCTTCTATTCACACAAAAAATAAAACTCAGTGGAATGTTTAAAGATCAACCAAAACACTGAGTTCCCCAGGGAGACACAGGCAGGCCATTTCTGTGAGGTTGAAGCTAGCCTCGTCTATGTAGTGAGTTCCAGGCCACCTAGGGCTACATAGTGAGCTTCAGAAAGGCTGAGTTCTGATTCTGCCATGTGTGTTTCACTCTGGGACAAAAGTCTAAGGTGCGTTCTTCCTCCAAGAAGCAGGAAAGGATGATGATTCACTTTTGTTGTCAGGGCATCTTCCAAAGGATGGGAAAGGAAATGCTAGGCAAACAGCTTAGAATCAATGAACAAACTGCAGTTGTTCAAGAACAGACAGTTATTTCTAAAATTGCAAAGAACAAAATCAGACATGCTATGTAAAACTATGACATTTTCTATCGAGTCCCATTATTTCTAGGGCTAAAATCAGCCAAAACCTTTATGCACCAGATCTAGACCTCTATCAGGGTTCACATTGTTTAGGTGAAACTTCTGGTTGATTTATTCATGGATTTTGAGAGGAGTTATGTCATTATCTTGCTGGTGGCCTCCAACTCCTGGCTGCAAGGGATCGCCCAGTCTCCCTACCAGCTAGGATTACTGGCATGTGCCACAGCACCTGACTCAAGAGGTTTCATTTAACATGTCATATCATATCTAGACTAAGATTTTAGTGATATCAGGAATAAACCTTGAACATAAATTACTAGCTTTTGTTCACAATGCAAATTCCAGCAAATTAGATGGCACCTTGACAGGAAAGGGTAAAAATGATTACCAGAGGGCACAGCCAAGTTGTTGACAAAAAAGTATCTTGCTAAACTAAAATAACTGACTCTAAGTAGCAGTCAGGAAATGTAAATGCAGCTCCGAGATTTCCCCATTCATCCTGGTTTAACAAACTCCGGATTCTCCAAAGAGTATACAGAACGTGGCCAACAAGGCAATAGTATTTCTGAGGCAGTAGTTAAGCTATGTAACATATAGTCTCTTGAAAATGTCCCGTCTTAAAGAGCATCATGGTACCTTATCAAAAACATTTCGGTATATGGTGTAATACTCCTCAGCAGGTCCTTCCTCGTTGCAGCCCACTTTCTTGGTTTCTGTAATTATGTATCTTTGCATGCTTTCCAAAAACTCCTTGTCACTTCTACTAATGATGGGAGGAAGAACTGCATGTTTGTTTACTTCTTGGAGTGACATAAATCTGTAAGCTTGTTCGCTGGAGAAAAGTTAAACTTTGACCTTCTTTTGCAACAAAGTCAAAAAACTTTAGTGAGCCTGAAATAAAACATGACCATCAGTTAATCTATAAGCCTAAAACTGTTACATCAAAAGTCAATTTAAAAACATGTATTTTTCAGAAAAAAATTCTTAGGGATCTGTCACTGAGATAAATATTTCAGTCAAAGAACTAAAATGCCATGCTATTCTACTGACATTTGCTATATTCCCAAATATGCCAGACAATTAGGAAGTCTCCCCTTAGGGCCAGTGAGAAGGTTCATCAAGCAGAGGTACTTGCCAGAGAGCCTGAAGACCTGAGTTGATACCCAGAATCCAGCTCAAGATGGGAGGAGAGAGCCAACTCCACTAAGCTGTCCTCTGACTGCCACACAAGCCCCCTGCCCAGTTCTGCACACAAAATGATGACCAAATAGAGAAAACAACCCTTCCTTTAGAAACCAAGCAGATTCCTCTGATGGTATCATTGAAATGATAGTGTCATAGGTTTCAACACTTTAAAAACTTTGTATTTTGCAATGCTGGGGACTAAATCAGGGTCATGAACATGCTAAGTAATTAGTCTACAACTGAGGGATACCCCAGGTCCTCTTTTTAAAATTTTTGTATTACATTTTAATAATTGTAAGGATGCATGAAATAGTAAGTAGCTGTGACTTCACTCTTCCAACGGGAGCTTTATTTCTTTCATGTGGGAACTACTGTGTGTGCTTCTGGCCGATATAAACAATACTTCTCTACCTCAATGTCTGCCTAGCCCTGTAACACTTCTCCATCACACAATGACCACAAATAATTATTAGGTGAGTGAGTTTGTTTTGTTTTAAATTGTTATTTTAGAGACAGGGTTTCTTGCAACCCTTAAACTCCCTATGTAGCTGAGAATGGTTTGGAAGACCTTCCCGCTCCCACTTCTCAGATGCCGGGATCATAGTCATGCACTAAATGGTTTAATAAATAAATAAAACCCCAACAACAACAAAGCATGAGTTCTGGGGCTGGAGGGTGGGCTCCCCAGCTAGGAGCACTGGGTACTTTCCATAGAAGCTGGGTTTGATTCCCAGTACCCACATGGTGCCTCCCAAAGCACACATGCCTTCTCCCTCAATCACTCATGCAGGCCTCTTTAAACTCCACACACAGGACAGCAGAAAGGGCCTTGTTGGGAAAGTTTTCAGCAGGAGAAAGTGTAAGGATGAGGCAGGGTGATGGTGAAAAGAATGAAAATTCATGAAACAGATGAAACTATCCATGAATAAAAACTGAAAAATTTAAAATTCCCTCTTGGCTATGGTAGACAGAACACACCTTTAATCCTAGCATTTGGGAGGCAGAAATAGTTGGATCTCTGTGAGTTCAAGACCAACTTGGTCTACATAGTGAAATTCAGACCAGTTAGGGTTACAAAGTGAGACTCTGCCTCAAAAACAATAAAATGTTTAATTTTTTTCTAAAGAGCTCTAAAGATAGCATTTATTGCATAGTATGAGATTCCATTAATTATTTAGTCATCCCCATTAAACACTTACTATAAATAATGCTGCTTTGAATAAATGTTTAAACTAACTTTATGTTCTGGCAATATAATTAATAACCAGTTATCTGAAATAACATATCAAACTTTAAATATCACATACATAAGAACCAGGACAGCAGTCTACATGGTCGTGCACGCCTTTAATCCCAGCACTTGGGAGGCAGAGGACTAAGTTGGTTGACAGTGAGATCCAGGCCAGCCAGGACTCCATAGTGAGACCTTGTCTCAAATAAACAAATAATAAAATAAAAAAATAAAAGAGACAGCACAATAATTTTAAATTATAAAAGACTAAATTTATCTTTACACTGATGAGTTGGATAACAAAAAGTCAGTTTACAAGAGGACATAAAGTAGTCCCATCACAGACACAAATAATGCTTGGTTAAAATCTTTAATTTAAAAAAGTTACTTAGAGCCTGGCAAGGTGGCACACGCCTTTCATCCCAGCACTTGGGAGGCAGAGTCTGGTGAATCTTCGTGAGTTTGAGGCCAGCCTGCAAGTTCCAGGACAGGTAGGGCTGTTAACACAGAGAAACCCTGTCTGGAAAAACATAAAGTCATTTAGTGTCTGTGTGTATGTGGGTGGGTGCATGCTTGTTATGGTACACACAGAGGTCAGAGGACAATTTATGGGAGTCGATTCCACTCCTTCCCTGTGGAGGAACTGAACTCAGAACATCAGGCTTGTCAGAAAGCACATTAGCTCACTAAGCTGTGTCACTGGTCTAAAGCTTTCTCAAACAGAAAATGAGTAAACTTGTTTACTCATGAGTTTAACCACTAGTTTTTGCAAGGTCTATTTTGTATTTGATGGCTAAGGATTCTGCAGTAAGAAAAGGTTCTGGCTCCTTGGAGCTTACAGTCTAGTAAGCCAGTCAGAGAACAGGTAATGTAACTGCAAACAGCACATAGAGTCAAAGGAGAAGGGAAGGGCCCACCTGCTGGGCGTGTGTGGTCACATCTTCAAGCTCTGGTGGTCTACCAATGCCCTTTAAGGGGTCAACAACTTTTTTCCCTCTTCTTATGTCTTTGTCTCTCATGTTTCAAGGTAAAGCATTTTATTCTTTGTAGTGTTGGATATCAATTCTAGGGCCCACACGTGCTAGGTCAGTACCCTACAAGTCAGATAACCTTTAACGCCAAGGTAAAGTATTTGACTAATGTAGATGACACCATCACTTTTTTACCTACGTACGTCCACATTCCAGTGGGTGCATGCAGATGTGGAGCCAGGAGGATCACGTGTGTGGGGTATCCTTGGATTATTCTACGCCTTATTTTAAAAGTGTTCTAACATTTAGTTAGTTTAGGGGTGTGTGATGCTGTGAAAGGCTGAGGCAACTTACTGCTGTCGGTTCTCTCTATAGGACCCAGCCGTGACAAGCTCAATAGAGGTCAGAGTCAGTAGTTTACCCCGAGGCAATACCTGGTTCAGAGAAACACCACAAACTGAGACCACCCAGGAAATTCCTTAGGCTCCAACCAACCACCGTAGATAGGACCACCTGCCAGCACATACCCATCGCTTTTCACTAGAACACCCCTAGACAAATGTCAGCCAATCAGGGGTTCTGAATCTTAGAAATCCCTCACCCCCACCTTTGTTACTATAAAAACCCAACTCTGAGCTCAGGGCTTTCGGATCACTCCAATACGTTAAACACACAGAGAGACCAAGTTTGCAAACTTGCATAAGAATAATGGCTCTTTGTTTTTGCATATGGGACTCGGTCTCCAGGTAGTTTGGGCTGGGGGAGGGGGGGGACACAATGACACTCGGTGACCTGGGTTTAACACTCTCCATCCACCATTTGGATTCCTAGCACAGAACTCTAGATGTCAACTCTTTTTACTGACTTAAGGCCCAACCTTATTTTAAAAGACGTTTGTCACGTGGCTGTACTGTTGGTTCTCCCAACCCCCAATCTCTCACTGAACTTGGAGCCAAGGATTTAGCTACTTTGGCTGGCCAATGAGCTCTAGGAAGTTTCCCATCAGGCACAGCACCTTTTTCTTTTTTTAAAAGTGGGTTTTGGGGTTACAACATAGACTTTTGCATATCAAGCATTTTATCTACTGAGCCATTTCTCAGTCCATTTCTATTTTTCAAAATGTGTCTTTTGGAGGTAGCAGCGCTAGTAGATTAAAAAGAGGAAAGAGCCAACAGTGTTAGAAGGACAGGGAAAGAAACTAAACAAACAAAAAGCAAAGCAAAACAAACAAACAAAAAAACCACCACCACCACCACCACAACAAAAACCCGGGGAGCGCCTACATTTAGGGATAGGAAGAAACGACATTAAGAGTCTGAATTAGAAAGGGTTTGTGAGGTGCAGAAGGGACTGGGCGAGGGCACGGCCTGCTTCTAACTGGTCTGTTTTGCCTATTTCTCCGGGACAGTACATGCTCCAAAGTATTTTTCCCAAGATGGACAACCTTCACGTCCGAGCTTGCAGTCGAGGTCTAAATAATCATTCTGCAGGTTTCCTTACTGTACGGCTTTTAAAAGGTGCAGAGATGAAAATTCCGATACATTTAACCGTTTCACACTAGGATGGCGCGTGCGGCTCAGAAGCTTCCTTAGGCTGGAGAAAAGGTAGCTGAGGGCCAGGCACGGGGGTGCAAGGAAGCGAACGCACCCGCACTGTGGAAAACTCGGTGTGTGCGCCACCGTCCTGGGGTCGGCTGAGGATGCCCTTCTCTGGGGGGCCAGCACAGCGGAACCCCGCGGCTCCTCATTCACCCTGCCCTTCTAGGCATTTCCGGCGCGGCCCCACCCTCGCGCTAAACACTCGGCCGCGTCCCCTGGTCCTCACCTGAGTCCCTAACCCTGCTTAGAGACTGTAACCAGACAGCCCGCCCGGAAGTGTGGAACTGCATCTTGGGACAAGTAGTTTTAGCAAGAAGAAAGCAGCGAAAAACTACAATTCCCAGCTAGACTTGTGTTACCTCTCTTTTCTCGTGCTAACAAGCCCCCTGTAAAGGAAAGCCCCCTCTTGGTCGCATCGACTGTATAAGAGCGCCTTTTGAACATTTTTAAGGAGAGCCCACTGTTTCGAGGACCCAAATGAGAGAAAGAGCGTAGGGAAATGGAGCGCCCGCTAGTCCGGCACTGCGTTAGACAGCCTCGGTTTGGTGGCAGCGCGCAGGCACGGGCGTGGACGCCTAAGGGGCGGGTCCTTCGGCCGGGAAACCCCGTTGGCCTGCGAGGCTCTTCCTTTCCGATCCGCCATCTGTGGTGAGTGTGTGCTTCGTGGTCCGGCTCCGGCCTGTGGCCTTAGGCGTCCGCTCTTACCGGGGTCGTCGGGTCTAATCCATGTCTTTTCGAATGCAGGTGGCAGCGCCGCCAGGATGCAGATTTTCGTGAAGACCCTTACGGGGAAAACCATCACCCTCGAGGTACGGGCCAGACGGCATGAGAGCCGCGACCTGGCGGAGACCTCGGTGTCGCCCGGAGCTTGAGCACGTTTCTGAGTTTTGAAGCTTGGCCGTTAGCCGAGGATGGGTTGCTTACAGGCGCCAAAGTTGGGTTTTCGGTGCCGAAGTTGGCGGCGCCTGCCCCGTTCCGAGTCGCAGCAGCGCAGGCTCGAGCGCGTGGCTGGCGCAGGGTTCGACACTCGCCCTGGCCCGGGAACGGAGTTTCCTTGTAGCACTCACGGGAGGCTGTGCATTGCCTCGCCCGTCTTGAATAGGTGCCGGCTCACCATCTCCCTGCTCGCTTTGTGTAATGTGGACATTCGCTGAGATCGATGTTCTAGCTTCTTAGCGTTTAACTGTGTTTTAAAACTTGTAGGTTGAACCCTCGGACACTATAGAAAATGTCAAGGCCAAGATCCAGGATAAGGAAGGCAAGTGATGTTTTGTTGCTAGAGAAATCACTGGTTGTATGACTTATGCATATTTGCTCTTAGGGTAGAAAACAGATTAACTTTGAAAACTCTGCATGATAATTTTGATTTTACGTATGAATTTTAACTATTTTCCCCAGTTTACTGTCTGGAGGCTATTAACATGTATTTAATGTTCAAGCACGTTCAAACATGAAAAGTGTTGAGTAGTCAGTCAGTGGCCACTGTTGGCAGTTTGATAGAGGGTTATCTGTAGCTTGGTATGCACCTAGTTTGATTAAACCAAGTATTTATTCTTGCAATTAGGAATTCCTCCTGATCAGCAGAGACTGATCTTCGCTGGCAAGCAACTGGAAGATGGCCGTACTTTGTCTGACTACAACATCCAAAAGGTTTGTTTGGGGGAAAACTTGCAGAAATAGGGATACGGGATTAGATTCCATGCGAGTCCATTTAACATTGAGAAGCAATTCAGCTATTTACTGTTAAAATGTGATGATGGTTGATCTTTTGGGTTTGTGGGGAGAGATCTCCTGTAGTCCAGGAGGGTTGTAATGCATTCCTGAGATGCTCCCACCCCCAAGTGCAGTGTGGGTGGGGTGGTTGCTGCTGGCAGGCACAATCACACCTAGCAGTTGACAGGCTGGAGTCAGGATTGTTGATGCTCCAGGGATTGATGCCTCCTTGATCCTTCATAACAGGAGTCCACCCTTCATCTGGTGTTGAGACTTCGTGGTGGTGCTAAGAAAAGGAAGAAGAAGTCTTACACCACTCCCAAGAAGAACAAGCATAAGAGAAAGAAGGTGAAGTTGGCTGTACTGAAGTACTATAAGGTGAGCTGCTGATCCCCAAAACCTGTGGTAGACTTGGAACAAGTTCAGAGCAGTTGACTTACAGGAGTGCTGACTTGAACACTAGAATTTCTTTAAATATTTTTACTTGTGAATATGCTTGCATATGAATGAAGAAGGCAGGGATGTCTGATCCCCTAGAGCTGGGGCTATAGGCGTGAGCTGTCAGATGTGGGTGCTGGGGACTGAACACAGGTTCTCAGGACAGTTTATGCTCTCAGCCACTAAACCATCACTCCAACCCCTAAAAGGCACTAGAAATTGGTGTTGTGAGGTCCAGTGGTTAATAACTTGAGTCACTTAAATCAGACTTCAGGATGTGTTTTGTGGAATTGTCTTAGAGTAAGTTTTTGTTTTTTTCAGGTGGATGAAAATGGCAAAATTAGTCGTCTTCGTCGAGAGTGTCCTTCTGATGAATGTGGTGCTGGAGTTTTCATGGCTAGCCACTTTGACAGACATTACTGTGGCAAGTGCTGTCTGACTTACTGCTTCAACAAGCCAGAAGACAAGTAATTATGTATGAATAAATAAAAAGACAGGAATTGATGTTTAGTATTGAGTTTTATTGTATGTTTAAAGACTGTTTCTTGGGCTATGTGACTAGTCCTTTTGGTTCCTGTCTTAGGTGCCAGCTGCCTGGCTTTGATTGACTTGAGCCAGAATATTTTAAGGGATGGGGGATGTCCTGGGCCTTAGAGAATGATTACTCTGTTCATGGAACTAGAGAGGCCATCTCCCTATCCCTTTGACCTTGCTTTAAGACATGACAGTATGTCTCACCCAAAAGATGAATTGATCACTTGAAGAGATGGCTCAGAGTTAAGAGCACTGGCTGCTCTTCATAGCATCCCGAGTCACAAGATAGGTGATATCCAGAGTTTAAGGAAGTATAGTCCCTGTTGATTATGCAGGAGGGGTCAATTTGGGGAGGGGGTGTTCATTGATTTGTTTTTTGTTTGTTTGTTTTTTTGGAGACAAAGTCTCTTTGTAGCCTGCCTCTGACTGGGATTAAGATAATGTGTCCCCTTGCCTGGCTCATTGTGGATTCTTAACTCTGATAAGGCAAAGATATTTGCTATATAAGAAAAAGAAGCTAGGGGCATGGTGGTGCATGTTTAAAATTTCACAACTTGGGAGGCGGGAGATTGCTTAACCAGCCTGTGTTAAGTATCAAGACCCCATCTTTAAATAAAAGACATGAAACAATACATTTATCATTTTTATTGTACATTTAAAATCCTGGATCCCAAGACGTCTTAGCTGGCACTTCATTTTCCTCATAACAAACAATTTCATCTCCCACTTTGAATTCTACTTTTTCTTCATCTAAAGTAAGACCACAGTCCATTCCAGTTTTGATGACTGAAACGTCATCTTTATGGTGTTTCATTGAGGTTAATGAGCCTTTAAAAGAGACAAAAAGCCAGTTAGTATATTTAATAGGTATCTACTAAGTGGTACATGGTTTGGTGTAACTTGGTTTTCTACCTTAATGCAGGTTCTGGATATTAAACTCAAGTTGTCAGGCTTATGTGGCAAGTGCCTTGCCTGTGGATCTATTGACTGTGCCCTTCCCAATATAGACCTTAGGTAAGAGGAAATACCAAGGAAGTTCAAAAAATACTTAAAAGTTGACCTGATAGATCTGAAATCTACCATTTTAAAGGTAGTCTAAAACTGCACTCTTGAGATTGTATCAAATCTGAAGACCAGTCAGGGAGTGCCCTAATGTGTAATGTTGGGACCTTGGGACCAACAGACAATACAGGGGCTGAACAACCAAGACTAATCTTGGGAGTGTCGTCAGAACTGACTGAGGAGCATATCACAAAATGGCACAAGTTAAGGCTAGGCAAGGGAAAAAATGCATAGGTTTTGGATGTTACACAATCAGGACTTGGTGATTATGGTTTAGAAATAGTTTTTAATGTTGCTTACCCTTCCAAATAACTTGTCCATTTCGGATTAATTTAAACTTCTTCTGTTTTTCTAACTGACCCTTTTGAACTCTGCAGCCAGCCACAGGAACTTTTCTCTTCCCTTCTGTTACAGCAAACGTAGCTAGTATACAAGCCTCACCTTTAGGAGGAACACAATGGAGGAAAGTAATGTGTAAGTTCCAGGCCAGCCAGCACTACATATTCATACCCTGTCTTAGCCGAAATTAGTTTGGGAATTAACAAAATTAGTAGTTCCATTAACAGGTGGAAAATCCCAGGGGCTGCAGAGCTGACAGTTAAGTGACCCTGACTTAAATGTCCCAGTGTCCACCCACATGGTGGCTCATGAGCTTCTGTAACTCTAGTCCCAGGCTGGTTTCACAGGCACTGGCCAGACGTGTATACATTGATATGCAGGTGAAACACCCATACATAGCCAGGTGGTGGTGGCACACACCTGGCTCTCGAGGTAGGTGGATCTCTTGATTTCGATGACAGCCTGGTCTATAAGAGCTAGTTCTAGAACTGTTAGGGCTGTTACACAGAGAAACCCTGTCTCCAACAAACAAAACCTCACCCATACACATAAAAATCTCTAATCCCAGCACTTGGGAGGCAGAGGCAGGCACAGGCAAATCTCTGTGTCTGAGGCCAAGTTTGGTCTACAGAGAGTTCCAGGTTCTACAGAAACCCAGTCTGAAAGAGAACAACCTACTGTTTGGCTTTCCTTCAATACATTTTCTTTTTTGGTTTATTTGAGGTGGTTTTACTGTGTAGTCCTAGAACTCACTCTGTAGACCAGGCTAGCCTCGGGCTCACAAAGATTTCTGAGCCACTGTCTGGCTCAATCTATTTTCTAATTCAGACTGTTGCTATCTTTAAATCATTTCAGGTTTTTTTTTTCTTCATATACTGAACACTAATTGTAACTCAAGTTCTAAAATCAAAGTGACAAGTGACCAGTTTTGAATGTTTCCTGACTGATGGTGTCAGTAATATTTGGTGTGTCCACTTTTAGAAACCCTCAGTTGGCTTTTCCAAATTGCTCTTGGTACAAAAACATAATATTTTTGTATACTGTTCATATTTAGCCTGTAGTAAATCTGTATAGACCCAAACTACAAAACTTATAAGAGAACAAATGTGGTAAATGAAATTGCTGATCTTCACATTTTAAAAATGTTAAGGTCAAAAGGATAGATGAATCCAGATTAAAAAGGATTATAAGAGATGTGACAACTGCATGTAATTTATGAGCCTGATGGGCCTGATCTAGGTGAAAAATCTGCTTTAAAAAGTACATTGTGGGGGCCAGGTCACATGACTTGATCGCAGGGCTTGGGTGCTGAAGGATCACAAGTTCAAGGCCATACTTTGGTATACAGCTGGGGACAGCCTACGTTACATATTACCCCATCTCAAAACTAGATAAAATCTGATCATAGACTGGATTAGACTATTAGAGTTAATACTTAAATTTAAATAAATTTGGCCTTTAATCCGTCCAAGAATATGCTAGAATACTTGAAAATACTTAACTATGTCAATGTATATTCATCTGTCAGTCTCAGAACAAAACCAAAAGTTCCTCTATGACACTATTATGACATGTACACTGTTCATGTGTAGACTTGAGGCAAGTTCTCACTTTGGTTTTATATCCTCTGGGCTCGAATGAACTTTGTCACTGTACAAGTCACATACAAGTAACGGAATTCTCACCTCATGGTAGTCATTTTTTTCTACAACATAAGCCTTGTATGGAACAGCAAATCTATTTCCCTAAGCTTTGCTTTTAGGTCCTTCCTATTTACAGCACCTGACGTAAATATTGGAAAGCTGCAGCCAGCACTTACCTATCGGGTATTCCTCTAGCCTATGAGGCAATCTGCTGCTTAGTTCCTCCTGCAAATCTTCAATAAGATGGTAGATGATTTTGTGAAGTTTAATCTTAACTCCTTTTTGTGCAGCTGATTGCTGGATAGCTTTGCCTGCATCCACGTTAAAGCCATAAATAACACCTAAGAAGCAGAGGCAAGATGAATACATTAGCACAAGCATTACAGTACAATCACTTATCTTTGAGGCAGAAAGTCAAACCTAAATTGTTTTACTTTCTAATAGCATAGCTATTGTGTGACTATTCTCATGAAAACTAGTAAAATTTTAATTATTTTTATTGGATTTTATAAATTGTACCTTGTTTAAAAGAAAGTTTTATGATTTAAAACAATTTTTTTATTTATTGTGACTGTTTTGATTGCATGTATAATGTGTAAGCATGCATGATGGTTAGAAGGGGTGTCGGCTTTCCTGGAACTGGCATTACAGGGTACTAGATAGATGGCTAACAGACAACGAATATTTAGAGGGTAGTGAGAGATACCTGGAGTGCGTGTGCTACTGGGGACCAGGGTAATAAAAAAAAATCAATTAATAGTACTTGGTCTTGCACTTTATTCCCAAGGTTTCTGTGGCCATGACAGATGAAATTACTGATGTATTAGGAGGAGAATGCTAGCCAATGATCAGCCAATCACAAGACATAAGTGAGAAGGTACACAAGATGATGGGTTCACACAGATTAATATATAGCCCATAGAATCTTTACCATCAAATGTCTCAGCAAAGTTGACATCATTTTCACTAATGTCACCCAATCCAAAATGTACCAATTCTAGTTCACATTCATGGGAAGCATCATACGTATCAAGAAGGTTCAAGATGGCTTCCACAGATCCATCAACATCACCTACAGATACAGCAAGAGTTTAAAATGTGTTAGTTGTAAGACGCAGGTATGTAAAATGAAAATCTATTTTAAGCCAAGACAGGAATGGCATTAATAACTAAAACCACTTTAAGTTTAGCATTATAAGAACTTACAATATACAAATACAAAGAAATTCAAAGAAACATTTTACAATGAAATCAATACAAGCTATACTTGCTCGGAAAAAAAAAATTGAACATCAAACCACTGGAAAAAAATCGAAGTAGAAACCTACTTTGATTTAAGGGATCGTTGGGGCAGTGCACATCTGTAACCTGGGCATTCAGAAAGCCCAGGTTAGCTTGGGCTATAAAACAAGACTGCCACCCCCGCCCCAATAGATAAAGGAGAGGGGTTCTAAATTATGAGAACAAAATTAAATAATTTAAACAGTGAGTAGCAAAGTAAAAACCTTCAAAAACTTACCTTTAATAATTAAAGGAAGTACACTGGAGTCCTTTTCTGCCTTTTCCTTGGGCTTTAAGGGTCTCTGCTCTTTTCTTTCAAGGTACTTCATATATGACCTCTTCTTCCAGTGCAGACTGCCATACTTTGCACGGGCTTTCCGATGCTCTTCTTGGTGCTCCTTTCGCATTTCTTCCATTATTTTCAGGTCATCTTTGCCTTTTTCCTCTTTCTGCTCAGTCTTCCTCCAGTCAACAACTTCTCGGGCCCTTGGCTTTACAGGGAAAACTGTTATGATTTTCCTGAAACTGGGTTAAAAGCTTGTGTTTTCCCTATTAGGAGCTCAACTCATAAGTTTCAAAAAATAAAACTTTAGGAAATTTGTATTAAAACAGTTTTAAAACTATCTAAAAAGCATAATACTACAATTAAATTCTAAAATGGTACCCTGACTTCTTCACAGCCCCTTACAAACTATAATTAACATTAGCACTCTTATTTAATATTAAACATTATAGACTGGTACGTAAAGCCATCATTAGTATCTAACATTCAAGAATTAGGCTTGCATACCTCAGATTCTACTTCAAGAATTTCATCTCCTGCAGAAGGGAGGTCTCTCCAGCCTATGATTCCCACTGGCATGCTGGGATAGGCCTCATTAAGTGTTTGTCCATTCTCATCAAACATTAATCGAACTTTCGCCCAACTCTTTCCAGCAACTAGAATTGAGCCCTTTCTCAGAGTTCCTCTTTGAATTATAGCTGTTGTAACAGGACTAAAATGAATATAAAAAGTAAATATTCTTAATGCTATAATCAGGACATAATTGTACTTTTTTTAAAAGATTATTTATTGCATATACAGTATTCTGCCTGCATGTGTACCTGCACCCCAGAAGAGGGCACCAGATTTCATTATAGATGGTTGTGAGCCACCATGTGGTTGCTGGGAATTGAACTCAAGACCTCTGGAAGAACAGTCAGTGCTCTTAACCGCTGAGCCATCTCTCCAGCCCCCATAATTGTACTTTTTAAAACTTTTTTTTTATGCATTGGTGTTTTGCCATGGGTGTTGGGTCCCCTGAAACTGAGATTACAGACAGTTGTGAGTTGCCATGTGGGTGCTGGGAATTGAGCTTGGGTCCCCTGGAAGAGCAGTCAGTGTTCTCAACCACTGAGACATCTCTCCAGCCATAACTGTACTTTCTTAAGTAGAGCAAAAAATGGTTTTATGGAGCATGTGCACATATGCGTGTGCGCGCACACACATGTATGAATATGAACATATCAGATTAATTCCCTTCTCAATTCCTCAAGAAGCTTTGGATACTATAAAGACTTTTACTTGGCCAAGGATTTATCAGGGTATACTTGCCTAACATACAAAATCCCAGACTTTTGTTTTTCAGTGTGGTTGTATGGGGTTTATTTATGTGTCTGAATGTTTCACTTGCATGCATGTATATGTATGAATGTATGCATGTATGTGTGTCTGTATATGTATGAATGTATGCATGTATGTGTGCACCTTATGCTTGCCTGGTGCTCTTGGAAGAAGGCATCAGATCCCTGGGGTTACTGCTATGAGGCACCATAAAGGGGCAGGGAACTGAATCTGGTCCTCTGCAAAACCAGCAAGTGCTCTTAACTGTGGAGCCAATTCTCTAGGCCCTCGTCTCTTAATCTAGTCTGGCCCTGACTCTTCCAGCCTCAGTCTTCAAAATGCTGGGATTAGAGACGTATGCAACCATACTGGGCCAGGCCTCAGGCTTGTCCTCATCATGACAAAAGCCAAAAACAAAGCAAAGTATTCTTTACAACAGCCAAGGAGTAAAGAAAAAGAAGTAGAAGCAGCCCCAAATTTTCAGCAGATGAATGGACAGCTTGTTAAAGGACACAGGAGGGAACCTTAACCCTTCTAACTGAAACGAGGCAGTGTGAATGGACAAGTGCTGTGTGACTGCCCGGGCAGAGTATCCAGGCAGGAAAGGAACCATACACAGATTGTTCTGACTCAATCCTACCCACTTACTACCCCATTCCACACATGGCTATGAGACTGCTCATAGCTGCTACCAGTGTACAAAGCAATGAGAAAATCTGTGCTTATAGGCAAAACATTCAAGAAGAACATGACATCACAAAGACCGTCCTACACATTAGATTTCTGGGTCAAGTCAAAGAACTAGAAATTAAAATGTAACATTGTTAGCCTACCTGTAAATGCAAATATCTGAGCCAGTGGGGGGAGGGTGCCAACCAATTTAATCACTCTAGTCATCTAAGTGATGACAGCAACTTCACTTTTGTGTGCTCTGTACTAGTGCAGTAACATACATCGAAAATACATAAACTACGCACTATATATATATATTGTCACACAACCCATCCAACAAAATTATTAGTGTCGTTTAGTACACCCCTACCCTCTTCCTTTGTCGGTGAAAGACTCTATCACTGTTCCTTCCACTGGACCCGTGACATCGGCTTTCAGTTCCAGCATCTCTGCGAGAGCGATCGTCGCTTCTGCCAAAGCCATCAGATTGTCTCCCTGTAACGAAGAGTTAGTACACGTCAGCAAATACTACTAGTAAATGTCAGCATAAGAGGATGAAGAATTTTGACAGCTACAGTTTTCTTTTTAAGAATTAAAATCATGAAATAACCAATTTTATCAAAAGAAAAGGAGATAGAGTACTATCAGCAAGAAAACCTGACTCAAGGGCTAATATTTAATATTTGTTTTTTCAAGACAGGGTTTTTCTGTGTAGCCCTGGCTATCCTGGAACTAGCTTTTGTAGCCCAGGCTGGCCTCGAACTCAGAGATCCACCTGCCTCTGCCTTCTGAGTGCTGGGAGTGAAGGTGTGCGCCACCACTGCCCAGCTCTAGATATAAGTTTTAAAATTATATTCTGCAACCACTCACCTATGTCAACCTGAAAAATTACTTCACCTTCCTGGATTGCCTTCCTCTGTAACATAAAGCTAGATTAGATTATTCATTTACCTTCAGTGGCGCATAATCATCATGTTCCCTATGACACCAAGATTACACAGCTCAGATGGGCCTGGCGGTGCAAGCCTTTCCTCCCAGCATGGAAGAAAGGTAGAGGCAGGTTAGGGCCATCTGTCTATATAGAGGGTCCCAGGCCAGCAAGGGCTAGTAACTGGTAATAGAAACGAGCTGACGGGTAAGAGGTCCCGCTGTTCTCCATGCCAGCTAAGGGGCTGTTTGTTAATTTCTTTTTTTCCCAAGACAGGGTTTCTCTGTGTAGCCCTGGCTGTCCTGAAACTCCCTCTATAGACCAGGTTGGCCTTGAACTCAGAGATCCTTCCTCCGTCTCATCTCTGGAGCACTGAGATTAAAACTGTGTTCCACTACTGCCAGGCAAGGTGTCTCATTGGCAAACCCGTGTCCTCTTTCTGGTACAAAGAGCTGAACCTTGAGCTTTGTGAAGATACAGTTCACCCCTGAAGTATATCCACTGCCCCTTTGTATTTCATTTTGAGAGAGTCTTTCAAAATTGCTCAGGCTGGCCTCAAACTTGCCTTAGCCTCCTGGGTAGCTAGGATTATAGAGCTGTCCTTACCACAGGGAGCTTGGCATCTTACTTTTGGAACACAGTAATATAGGTCATATTTTATAAACACAAGAGGAGCTAGACACAGTTTTACTATTAAAAGAAGCATAATTCCTAAGCATCTTAGAGGGACCAAATTTTGGGAAAATAGGATGAAGTAAAAACTAATTAGAAAAAATAACAGCACCCAGAACTATTCCTGCAATGACTGGGGGGGGGGGTCATTATGAGGAAACTGTGAAATACGAAAAGAATAAAAGAATGGGCAAAGGAAATCATTACGCAGTAGCAACCTGAAGAGAACGGGTAGATGTTGACCTAGAGGTGAGTTACAAGTTCTAGATCATAACTAGAGAATAAATAGAGTTATGGTTTCTATCCAGAGAGTAAATAATTGGTAATTTAAAATAAAATGGAGCTCAACATAAAAGATATTAGTAAAAACCAGAAGCATCACTTGGGCAACAAAAAAACCAGCCTGTACAGTGCTTTGCTTCTTGCTATGGGAACGTATGTAACGAGTGATTCAAGTTGGGCTTATTCTGCCTCTGTGAGCGTGGGAAGCTGTGACGGCAGGAGCATGATGACCAGACGAGGGCTGTGGTGCTCGGCTGGCATCCTCACAAGCGTTAGCTGCAACTAGACACATCACAGGCTACTGGCAACTGATGGCTGCGGGGAAGGGCACCGGTTTCCCTCAGGGATGTGACGCTGGATGAGCTACCCTCGCGCCGGTGGACCGTCCTACACCATCAAGTGCTAGCAGTACTAAGCGGTGGTGGCGCACGCCTTTAAACCCAGCGCTTGGGAGGCAGATCTCTGTGAGTTCGAGGCCAGCCTGGTCTACAAGAGCTAGTTCGAGGACAGGCTTCAGAAAGCAAAAAAAAAAAAAAAAAAAAAATGGTCTTGAAGGTGGCAGGGAATAGGAGGCGGCAGAGAGCAGGGAGCAGGAGTGTACTTGATGAAAATGCGTTATATAAACCAGGTGGTGCCCGGCTTTAATCCTAGAACTCGGGAGGTAGAGGCAGTCGGATATCTGAATTTGAGGCCAGCCTAGTTTACTATAGAATGAGTTCTAGGACAGCCAGGGCTACATAAAGAAACCCTGTCTCAAAACCAACAACAAAAACCCCAAATGAAGGAAATTCTCAAACAAAGTTTCTTGAGAAGGGATCTCATTGTGTAGCCAGCCCTGCTATGTAGAACAAGCTGACCTCAAACTCAGAGATGCACCCATCTCTGCCTCCCAAGTACTGGGATTAAAAGCATGCACTCCCACATCCTGGCACAAACAATAATTTAAGTATTTTTAGTTTTTTTGAGACAGGGTCTCAGTATGTAGACTTGATTGGCCGGAAACTCACTATGCAGACCAGGGTGGCTTCACATTTACAGATCCACCTGCCTCTGCTGGGGATAAAAGTGTGTGCCACTATGCCCAGTTCAACAATAAATTTACTAAAAAGCAAGAAAAGAAAAAAGGCAATCCCTCATAGATAATCCCAGAGTCTTATCTCTTCGGCAACTCTAGATACTGTCAAATTCACAAAATAAAAAAAAGTTAGCTAATAATATTAGTAATTTTTATGTATTTAAATCCCTCTTAAGTACCCAAAGACCTATTCTATTGTTTGCTACTTAGACAAGGCATGAAACATCAGTACTTTTTGTTATCAACTGGTCACCAGTTCTGCTTAAAACACAAGGTTAGGACAGGTGTGGTGATGCACACCAACAATCCCAGCACTTAGGAGGCAGAGGAACTGCTGTGAGTTCCAGGCCAGCCTACTTAGTGAGTTCTAGGTCAGTCAGAAGAGAGACCCTATCTCAAAAGAAAAAGGAGTGTTCTTTGGGTAAGCACTGCTGTGTAGGTCACCCAGCGCTCACAGCTGCACACCATTCTGAGATGGCTGCACTTACCTTAAGTGCAGACACATGCACGGCTTGAACCTCGCCACCGTAATCTTCACACACCACATCGTAAGCCAGGAGCTCTTTCTTCACTTTTTCGGGGTCAGCATCTGTTTTGTCGCATTTATTTATCGCAAGGATAATAGGAACTGGAAGAGCAAGAGCCAGGAAAAGTGCAGATGAAAACTCCTTTAATTCTCGGCATTCATTGGGAGAAATGCCGACCTGCTCTGGCTTTCTCTTCATTCACTGGATGCAGATATTTAACCAAGGCCGAAAAGACCCACTTTAGACTCACGTTATCCTCCTCTGTCGTCTAGACAGAAAGAAAAAGAAAGGCTGGAGAGAAGAGTCAGTGGTTCAGAACACTGGCTCAGGTCACGTGTGGTGGCGCACTCCCTTAATTCCAGCGCTCAGGAGGCAGAGGCAGGTGGATCTCTGGGAGTTCGAGGCCAGCCTGATCTACAGTGAGTTCCAGGACAGCCAGGGCTACACAGAGAAACCCTGTCTTTGGGGGTGGGGGTTGCGGAGGGGGAGAAGGACAGGGTCTTACTATGTAGCCCTGGTTGGCCTGAACTTGCTATGCAAACTAAGCTGGGTTTGAACTCACAGAGATCTGCCTGCCTCTGCCTCTGAGTGCTAGGATTAAAAGCATGTACCATTGCTCCCAGCCTCTATGACAGATCTCAGCCTGTGGATTTGACCCTTTGGGGGTCAAACAACCCTTTCACAGGAGTCACTGAAGACTATTGGAAAACACAGATTACATTCTGATTCATAACAGTAGGAAAATTACAGTTATGCAGTAGCAATGAAAATAATTGTATGGGGGCTGGAGAGATGGCTCAGAGGTTAAGAGCACTGACTGCTCTTCCAGAGGTCCTGAGTTAAATTCCCAGCAATCACATGGTGGCTCACAGCCATGTATAATGAGATCTGGTGTCCTCTTCTGGCATGCAAGCATACATGGAAGGAATGTTGTATACATAATAAATAAATAAATCTTTTTTAAAAAAATAATTGTATGGTTGGACCAGCACAACATGAGGAACTGTATTGGAGTCGTGGCATTAGGAAGGTTGGGAACCACTGCTCCACGTCTGTTCTGAGATACATTAGTCCAGACTGGCTAGAAACACACTATGGAGCTGAGGATCCTCAGTGCCTGAGCCTCCAGGACCTCATGCTGAAGATTCCACACGGCAGAACCAAGTGGTACAGATCTGAAACCTCACTCCTACCGGCATATTCATTAATCATACACAGCCGTTAGCCCTTTCAACTACACTAGTAACTGCTTGGTAAGACATGGTCACTGGTACCAATGTGTCATGAACAACATGGGAATAACCAATACTTTTTATTTTATTTTATTTTTTGTTTTTTTGAGACAGGGTTTCTCTGTAGCTTTGGAGTGTGTCCTGGAGCTAGCTCTTGTGGACCAGGCTGGCCTTGAACTCACAGAGATCTGCCTGCCTCTGCCTCCTGAGCGCTGGGATTAAAGGTGTGCACCACCACTGCCCAGCTCCAACACTTTTTAAAAATTTTTTAATTAGGCTTAAGTCCTTCTCTGCAAGGTTAAAAACCCATATCTGGCATCATTCCTGAGCCAAGAACCTATAGCTAAGGGAGAACCTACTGTTACATGCTAATATATGGACATAGTATTAAACTGACTCCTAATGACTTATACCTATGGATCAGTGCATCTCTCAGCCCTCACCTGAGAAGCTTCTGTTTGCACGAGATGGTGATCAGCACAGAGACCCACGACTGGCCAACTGCAGAGAAAACTGCAGAATGCTCAGCCCTAAAGGGAACATGCATACTCCATGCCACCCCTGCAAGGCTCAGGACGCCCAGCCGTAAAGGGACATGAACACTCCACACCACCCCTGCAAGGCTCAGGATGCCCAGCCCTAAAGGGAACATGTATACTCCATGCCACCCCTGCAAGGCTCAGGCATTACTGTGGAAATGGGTGGAATAAGGCATAAGAGCCAAAGGCTGTAGATGACCACAAGGAGACATTGTCTTCTGGATACAGCACAGCAGTTGCACTATAAACTCATAGTGGTGGTGACAACATGCACAAAAACCTGTGTAAGCCCAGGCTAGACCAAATCTCAGCAAAGAGAAGAGCCAGGCACAAAATCCCATTTCTAGCTATGAAGCTGGCAACCTAGGCAAGCCCAGGCTAGACCAAATCTCAGCAAAGAGAAGAGTCAGGCACAAAATCCCACTTCTAGCTATGGAGCTGGCAACCTAGGCAAGCCCAGGCTAGACCAAATCTCAGCAAAGAGAAGAGCCAGGCATACAATCCCACTTCTAGCTATGGAGCTGGCAAC